GTTAATTTTTCATACACAAATTGATAGGTTGGCAAAAATAAATGACATGACCATTCCAACTCATCCCACAAAAAAAAAAAAAAAATCCCTTTTTTTTTTCATTCCTCTCTTTCCTTTTTCCCTTACTCTTTTCTTTTTCCCTTTCTCTTTCCTCTTCCCTTTCTTCAACTTCTATAAACCCTAACATCTCAACTAATCTATTTATCTTAACCAATCTCAACCAATCTCTGCGCGTACTAGGTTCTTTATCATCATTAAACAACAAAACTCATAAAAAAATAGATTTTTTTTTTATTGTTTGCCCCTAGGTTCTTTCGAACCTAGCATGCATCTTTTGTTTTTCCTTCCTCTTCCTTGCCTTGCCTTCTTCATCTTCATCAATTAATTCTTCACTATCATCAAATAACAAAACCCACAAGAAAAAGTAAAAATTTTTATTTTTATTTTTTCCCTTGGGGTTTGAAAGAACCCAAGTGTGCTAGATTCAAAAGAACCAAGTGCTTGGGTTTGAAAGAACCTGCGCTTGGATTCCATCGAACCTCGGCGTGTTGGGTCCAAAAGAACTGAACACCTCGGCTAAAAAAAACCCATGGCTGATTTTGAAAGAACCCATACCTAGATTTCATCAAAACCAGACATGTTGGATTTAAAGGAACCAAACGCTTGGGTTTTAAGGAACCCAATAGTTGTTAGGTTCCAAGAGGAAAGAGAAACGAAAAGAGAAGGAAAAGAAGAAGAAGAAGAATTTTTTAAGTCTTTTTTTCTCATATTATTTTTTTTTTGTTCATATCATTATTCTTTTATCATGTTGTCTTCTCACATGTATTAAAATTTGACATGTCATAATGTAACCGTGAATTAACCAGATACATCATGAGATTTTTAATAAAAGGACTAAGTTGAGATTAAAATGATAAATAATAAAGATTAAATCAAGGATTTTTTGAGTTGAAAGACTAAATTAAAAATTTGTATAATAGTTGAGAGACCAAAATGAAGATTTAACCTAAAAATAAATGACGCTGAGGCAAGGAGAAAGGGACACTTGGTTGTTGAAGTTCAGCACCAACGGAAGGTATTCGTCGTGCTCCGACTATTCAAGATTGGTGGTAAATGGGAACTCGCCTCACAGGAAGCTATTTGAAAGAGTACGGAATCAAATAATCCCTCATAAAATCTGTGAATTTGTTTGGCAATTAATTTTGGACCGGTTGCTAACTAAGTTCAATTTGCTTAAAAGAGGGATAATTAAGGACTTAATTGAAGCGATGTGCAACCTTTATGAAGAAAATGTTGAGGACAGCAACCATCTGTTTTTGCACTGTGAAGTGGCTTCCTGGTTTGGTCAAGCTGCTGTCAATGGTGGGATGTGTGCACTGCCGCAGCAAGCAATGTGCGGGAAGCTTTTGAGCAGCACGAGGGACTCATACTTGATGGGAAAATGCAGATAGGCTGCGAACCTATATGGTTTGCAATGGCATGTACCATTTGCAATGCTTAGAAATGAAAAGCTATCTAATGGTGGCACAGTAGATGTTGACAAAATAGTTGATTCTGTGCAAGTAAAGACATGTCAGTGGGTAAAAGACAGAGAAAAGGTAAGGTCTTCCTTTACGTTAGATTTTTTTTTTTTTAATAAAGGTAATGATTAAAAAGTTAGTATGAATTAGTTGTTAATAATTGGGGATTCAATCCTCAAATTAGGTGAATATTTCACCCTTTAAATGAGGCGCACAACCATTAGACCGTTTTTTGGTGAAATTCACAACGGTGATAGAGCTCGAAGTTCCAATTATCTCACCCAAACACTTAAGAATTTGGATCGAACCATTGGATATAAAGTCCTAATTCTTCTTTATTTTAGATTGGAACATTACTCCAAGGGCATGTGTTGCCAAATAAATTACTGTAGGTCGTTGGAATTTGTTTAAAGGTCTGTAATTAAATTAAATAATTGATAATTATTTAATTTTATATATAAATTTAAGTATCTTTTATATTTATTTAATAAAATTTTATCATTAAAAAGAAGAAAATAATAATAAGAAAAAACTAACGTGGCAATTATAAACCGCAAACCACAAAATGAAAGTAGAAAAGGAATTTAAGGAAATCTCTAAATTAGGACTAATCAATTATGACTAATAAATGAACCGCCACCTCCAAGAATCATCTGGGTTCTTCAATTATGACTAATAAATCTCTGGGTTTATTAGTCATAATTGATTAGTCCTAATCTTAATTGGTTTCTCCTCCACCTCCAAGGATGATTTGGGTTACCTTTGAAATTGAAGAACACACTATATATTCTGATTTTACTTGTGTTAAGATGTGAACATAATTATATTTAGAATTATTGTAAATATTTTATACTTTAAAATATTCTCTTTGTATACTTTATACCTTAGAATATTCTCTTTGTAAACACTTATATAGAAGTCAATTGTATATACAGTATAATTCAAGAAAGCAATAAACCTTTCTTTAGATATTTCTTCTTCTTTTCAGTTTCTAACATGGTATTAGAGCTATAAGCTCTTGGTTCTTTTCTCTTATCATCGCTGTTGGGTCTTTTTGGAGTTGGATTTTCAATTCCATTCCATATCTGAAACTTTGTCATTGGGATCTCTTCACATACAGATTGGATTGTTTATCCTCAATTCTCAAACCCTTTCTGAGGTATTTTGTTGGTTTGTTATTTCGATCTTGGTATCTATTTCTCCATATTTTTAGAGTTTTTCAGTATTGTGAGTTTACTGATATTATGACGAGTTTTGAAAGGATTGTAACTCATCCTGCTACTGCTACGGTTGCCAAAGAAATGATAGAACAACCTAATGTCAACCTTGAATCCCTAAAACAGGTGATATTAAATCTTTTTAATGCTCCTACTACCTTATCTACTACTCCGGGTACCAAACTTTGGTATTTCGATTCTGGTTGTTGTAACCATATGTCTTCAATTACTGCTCATTTCTCTTCAATATCACCTAACAATTCCTTTCCTGATATTTATTCTGCTAATGGTTCCCCTATGAATGTTAGTCACATTGGTAATGTTTCTACAAAGTCATTGACTTTACCAAATGCCCTTTTAGTTCCAAAACTTACTTATAATCTTCTATTTGTCAGTCAATTATGCGATCTTGGTCTTGAAGTAACATTTTCTGCTCATGGTTGTTGTGTGCAGAACCCACGGACAGGACAACTTCTTGGAACTGGTCGCAAGGTGGGGC